AGAGAGAGAGAGAGAGAGAGAGAGAGAGAACGTGTGAGCTGATGTGAGTTCAGTCAATGATCAAATCCTTGTTCGATCCATTGGAAGCTGCCAAGAGTTAAAGCTTGTTCAAGTATTAGATGTGTAAACAACAAGAAAACACTCCGACACCCACAAGTTACTGTACAAGTTACTGTTCACGTTATTGTACAGGACTCAGTCATTTGTATTGTATTCATCAGAATTCTACTCCAGTGCAGTTTAACATGTTAACATTCAAAACACATTTTTTTTTAAGAGTAGTCATTAACGACAAGGGAATTGTTTCCATGATCCTGTTATATCAGGCAGGTGACACTAGACCCCGGTTCCTGCAGCCATAATGATGTAGTAGAATAGGCTACACTTGGCAAGTACTTTCACTTTTAATACTGTAAGTACATTTAAAACCACGTACGTACTTGAGAAGATAAGTGAATGTTGTGCAGTTTTGTCTATTTGTCCGTTTTTTTACTGAAGTAACATGTTTGAGTAAAAAGGGAGAGCAAACAAAGCAAACGCTCATAAAAATGTCAACGTGCTGTAAAACAAACATTTGTGAATTACACAGCAGAACATAGACGTCATGTCCCGCCTCCTGCTGATCTACGCTGGCGCCGTCCCTGGCCTGAATGTTACGGTCTCTTTCTGCTGTGAAAGCAACAGTCTCCTGTTGCTCTCTTCTTCGATCTGAGAAGCAAACTCCAGAAAATACATGGAGCCATTTCTCGAGACATTTCCTAGAATCATGTGTGAAAGGTAAATCTGCAGCTCCGTGTAGGGACAAATGTTGTGTATTTTCCTCTTTTGACAGTTTCTTAAATCTCACATTTATCAACCACAAAAATTATCTTTTGCAGCTTCAAGCATTTCCTAAAAGCAGCTGGACCAGAATTAAACCGGACATGGGCTCCCTCCCGGTTTATCAACCGCACTTTCTCAACTCGGATGATTAAACCATCCACCAGATTCACTGTGATGCCGCTGATCGACTGTATGCTCCACACTTTAAAGAGTCTTCGCCCGGGGGACAGATGTAGCTTTCATTTTATTATGGTGACCTTCAGTGGACTTGATTACATGCTCTCAAATTCAGCTGAATCAATGGCCAGTTTATCATATTAGAAGCAAAGAAATCCCCTGAGGAGCAGCGAACGACTGGAGAGCGATTGAGGGGGAGAGTTGAAGTGGCGCGTAAAATGACTATAGGTTAATGCTCTGTTCTTGGCCGACCTCCTTTATACTCATATATATAATATTGAACCTAAAATAACCCGAGTAACGCAGCACAAAATGGCCATTTTGCAGTTTTAAAGATGGAGTACTGACCCAAGCCACATAGAGTTTTCTTGTTCTTTCCTGCCTGAATTCCCTCCACTGCTTTACGATGTGGGACTGATGTGACAATTTGTTCTAAAGCTAAGAAAATAAATTAATAATTGTTTTGTTATTTCGACACAATCCTAAATGATAATACTAGTTTTTTTTATTCAAGAATCCTCCTGTGGTTTTATTATTTATAACTTCGAGCCCTAAACTGTGAGAGAGATGTGTCAGCGTTCCTCGGCCTCGGGAAACAACGAGAGCTGGAATTGGTCATGGCTTATTTAAAACATTGTTCAACAGTTATGGACCGAAATTTGACAACTTGAGGGCTTGAGTGTGAAAACAAATTACATTTAAAGCAGAGAAAGAAAAGATCATTTGATGTAAACCGCAGCTGCTGCTGAGTCACAGATCTACTTTATACTAAAGTGTGATATTAGCACTCATGAGTGGATGAGGGTCTCACCTGGGTTACAGTCTGTGAGCAGGGAGCAGATGGACAGCAGCACCTTGGAGATGGTGAGGGCGGGACTCCAGTTGTCCTTCAGGATGTCCAGACAGATCACCCCCTGACTGTTGATGTTGCAGTGATAGATCCTCGTACGAAATGTCACCTGCACACACGCGGGCGGACAAAATGCAGATCAGATGAAGACAAAAATGTTCTTACTCACTGAATAAATAACAAGAACGCAGAATTGGCATTCTGTGACACCGGCGGTGGAAACACAATCTCAGCAACATACTAACTAAAACCCATGCACTCGGGGTTGTGTGGTTTAGATGCTCTGCAACAGTTAACAAGTATTACAAAATTACACAAAGATCCTTTTAACAGGGACGAGACCAACAAAAAAATAGCTGGAGGACAGATTTACTACTATATGTGTAAGATCTTCACTGTTTGGTTTGATTATCCAAACCAAACTTAGCTTAAAAACCACTAAGACTTTAAATTATGCTTAAACAATAACATCTTAAACCTTGTTATGAACAGAGTAAAGCAAAGACATGGTTGAATGAAATAAAAACATCTTAAACATAAGGAGTTTGTTCCAAATCTTTGGTGCAGATTCATTATTTTTCAGATAAACCTTTAACAGCATTTTAAGAAACTAAAAATAATGAGATTCAGTCTGAATCCCTGCTTGATGGAGATGATTGCTGTTACATGCGTATGACCACAGAATAAAAAGAGATGTGCAGAGTTAAGACAAGGTTTTTAAACGACCTGTGATCAGAGGGCGTTAACAATAGATGAGATAAAAAAATATGGACGGGATAAAATGTGACTCCGGATGACTCCAGGAGATGAGTTTTTAGGCCTTCGAGGAAAAGAATTTCCTGCACAGTCTGCCAGGTTGAGAGGCTTGTTATACCTGGGAGTAATTATAGGCGAGACACGGACGACAGTTAAAAGCTGCAGTGAGCCTTTTTCTCCCGTCTCCTTTATTCACTTTAACACTGATGGATCAGCGTCAGGACCAGTACAATGTTTGGATTTCTCCACCGAGGGGACTTTGAATATTTCTCAGAAATATATGTCTGAAGGTTTCGGTATTTTATTGCATTCAGTGAATTATACAGTTTGGTGTTTTAATAAAAAAACAGAGACAATATTTTTTGGCTTTATTTGACTCCCATGTCTTTTTCTTGTCTTGAATGTATTTTATTTTGTACATGAAGCTGCAAGACAAACTTCACACATTGAATAAACAATAAGGAATTATCAATCAATCAATCAATACATGTTCTCGGTTTTGATGGATTTAACACTCTCCATAAACACGAGGGGAAGACTAACACCTCCTGAACCAATTCCTGTGACACTTCACTGAATCTAGATCAACCAACAGAGGGCGGCATGAGGCACCACAACAATAAAGGTTTTGTTGTCGTGGTAAATGAATTCCTCCACTTGTCACAGTAAACACTGCTGTGTGGTTATAGCCTCAAAATGTGACCTGTGGCATGTTACCTGGATTTGTTCTCTTCTCAAAATACCCTCAACAAGCACTCAACATCCCGCCACAGGGGTGTTTATGTGGTCCGCCATGGCCTGGATTTGAGCTTGACATCTGTTTGGTCCTGACACTTGACACCTCTGTTTGCGCCAATCACCAACATCTGGCCCTCGTGACCCTGACCCTCCAGAGGAAACCTCTAATGAGCCTTGGCCTTCCCCCCCAAAAAATTACACAGGAGCAGGATGTTATAAATAACCTTCCCCTCCACCACCCTCTGCAGACACAGTGCTCCTCTGCTGGCCCTGCTTCAGAAGCAGAAACACATCCACCTGGCGAACTTGTCAGGCCGAGCGAGAGGCCTTTTTGTTTTTCTTTTGGGAGATTTTAAAAGCAAGTCAGGTTCTGGATTCCAAATTCCCAAGTGCATTCAGCAACCCAGCTTCACTGGAGCGTTTCTATAGCGAGGGAGTGCATGGCAGCTACAGGCCGAGGAGTCTGGTGTGTGTGTGTGTGTGTGTGTGTGTGTGGGGGGGGGGGTTTGGCTGCAGATCATAGTGTGTCAGAGGGGTAGGAGGTATTGAAGGGGGCGGAAACACTCAAGCCCCTCTGGCTACAGAAAGCTGGGCCAGGGCCTGTGGATTTGTTTGAGTCTGCTGTCAAACACAGAGCTGGTGGTTACACAGCACAAAGAGGGAGAACGAGGGAGAGGAGAGGGCAGCGAGCACCAGGAGGGGTGTGCATAACAGAGAGCGAGGGAGAGAGAAAGAGGAGGGGGGAGAAAATGAAGGCCAAGTGAAAGGGTAATTGGGTGCACTGCAAACTAAAGGGAGATTGGCCCCGACAGTCTGTGTGTTCAATAATGACATCCACTCAACATCGCTGGAGTACTCTGCAGACAACGCAGCACGTCCAACAAGAAAAGGAGTCGAGCACTGAACGGGTCAGGATGCAGCACGACCCAGATTTCGAGAGGAGACGGAACAAAACGAGAAGAACCGCGCAGACAGAGCCGTGAACAAACTAAACGGCAGGACTAACTCAACAACCATGACACCGGGGGGACATTTAAAGCTCTATTATCTTAGTATCACACTTACTTTCAATTGATTCCTCATGTTTCTCATCAACATGCACAAAGGTCACAGCCTCTGCTCATTAATCTATTCAGAACTGGGTCACAGGAAGGAAAAAGGAATTGGAAAAAAAAAGGCAACAATTTAAAAATGTATTCTTATTTCCTATTATAGGCTATTTTGTGGTGAATAACTCAACATGTCTGTGATGAGTTTTTCCTTATCACATTCTTTAACGATACACTGATGGTTTTTAAAGTTTTGTTTTCCTCTGATGTCCAGACATTTGGCTGTGTGTAAGAATGCAAATGTTAAAGTCAGCTGCTCTGGACATTTTGTAAAACTTTTCCTTCGAGTCCCCTAGGAAAATAAACCGCAAATGTCCTGGTGAGAATACAGCATGAAAAAATATCTGAACACAAATATCTCAGAATGAAAAAGAGGAGCCATGAACATTGGAGACTCTGACGAAGATGTCAACTTGGAAAGACAAGAAGGTTTGAGAGTTTTCGGTCGATGCTGGTGTCGATGTGCTTATAAACGAAAACACTGAAAGCTCAGTACGTTTTTTGGTGGAAACCTGTGCCCAGTTGTCCGAGTGATAAAATCTAAATGAGACGGTTTCAGATTTAGACTCCTACGTTTTACTATCCAGGATCTAGTAATCCATCTTACCAGGTTTTCAAAGCAACACTGGACTTCATAACACAGACTTTTCAGAATCACTAAATCGGGACAAGCAGTGCTCTAAAGACGACACGTCGCAATGAAGGCTTCTGGCGACATGTGAAGAGCAGGTGAACCCAGTGGGAGGCTTCTCTAAGTGATTTTCTTTGAAGACACAGAACAATTCTAACTTCCTCAATCTCCTCATTTGACCGTTTCCCTGCAGCAAACACACCTTGAGCAGGCGCGCTCCAGTGCTGCTCATTGAAAAACAAGATGTGTAGCTGAAGTGCTTTGCATGCCTTAACTACTTTCAAGAGGAAGCACAGGGAGAGTGCAGCATAAAACTTGTTTGTGTTGTCCTGCACAACATCGGCAGCAGGCGACGAAACCCCTCTGCGATGACGTTTACGAGCCCGTCGAAGCTCCTGCAACCTCCAGGCTTCCCTCAGAGGGATGGACGGGTTCGACCCTGATGACTGTGTCACGGTAATAAATACACAGAGAGAAATATACTACTTTTGTATTTCTTTTCTTTTACTTTACTGTGGGCAAACTTACTCTCCTTAATCACAGTGACACAAATCAAGAGCAAAATCTAAATACATGTAATCACACTACATGATACAGATGTTGTATTATTTCACCGATTCTTTCTCACATTTTGATCCTGTAATCCATCTAAATCCACAATTCTGATGGGATGAGGATTATCCTGGTGTTTTGAATCAGACTCCACCCCACTGAAACTTTTTGAACACATCCTGAACATTAGAGTCTGATCAAGCAAACAACAGTGAATCATTTCAGTCAGACGTGTTTACTACCCATAGTTCTGCGACAGCCGCAGACACCATCTTATTTGCAGATGACTTTATCTATTGACGGCTATCGGTACGTGATGCATGTTATTCATGTGCGTTGTTCCTTTTAAACAGCAAACACAAGAGAACATAAAACATTTTCAACTGAAGCTGGTAGTGATTTTCAGAGAGAAAGCAGGGGAGTGTTGCGGAGCCTTGAGCAGCTCAACAGCCGCATATTTTTCTGGAAAGAGTAAATATTAGACTCATAATTAATCATGTGATGAGAAACACGACCCACAATGAACGCTAATGTTGCTCTGCATCTCCTTGGCAGTCCGAAAGGTCATAAACAGAACTGCTCGTTATCCTGCACAAAACAAACCTATTGTGACTGTGTGTATCTCTACAGGCCAATCTGAGTAAAAAATTAAATGACAGTAGCATCTACTGACCTTGGGGGGTTTGAAGGGGTAGTCTGGCGTGAAGGCGATGTCCAGGAAGAAGACACCTCCTTCGTACACGGAGCCTGGGGGTCCCAGGATGGTCGACCTCCACTCATAGATGTTGTCTCCTTTGGGGCCAGCACTAGGAAATGAAAACAACATGTGTTAATATGTTAAACAGCAGAACTCACTGGAATCTACAGTCTACAGTCTGGCGCTGCCCGATGGCTGACACGAGATTTGGGGGAAATCAGCCGCTGAGGTGGTAAATGCTGGTTTCTGACAAGTTAATGATGGAGATTTGGGGAGCGCTGAAGCCGTGGAGGTTTGAGGGGTTTCTGGTCCGAGGCTATTTTAGGTGGATTTAGATTATTTTTCAAATGTGTGATTGGAAAATTAGATTATCTGCAACAGGGAGTTGAGTTACTAAAGCATTTCTGACACACTGTCAGGCACCGGTGAACCAGTGCAAGAGTGTAACTGTAAAACCAGTTGTAAAAAAACCTTCTGCATAAAAAGAGTTTGTACTTGAGCCAGATTTTTTTTTTTTCTGGCACGATATGATCCCACTGCTCAAACTGCCCCTTAAAGGAACAAAGGGCCGTCCTTGACTTAAGAAATTCTCTGCTGACAAATGGTCACTATCGTTTTGTTTGACAAATCTATGCAATTACGACTTCCTACTTAATTGTTCCACTTCAAAATCCCAAATAATCCTGTCATATATTCTCGGAAAATAAAGCTTTTCATAATAAGAAAACATCATCTGCATAAAAGAAATTGCAAACACTGCAAATATTATTTGAGCCCGTGTTTTTTTTTTTGTTGATGATGAGTATTTATGCCGAGCGGAGGCTGAAGGTCACATCTGTTGTATAGGCCCAGTAATTAATGCCATTTCCATATTAAGGGTTCCCTCCCCCAACTGTTGTTTGTGGTAAGACCCTGAGTTGGCACGGAGCCAGGAAGAGACGGGGACAATGTCCAGATCACAATGCTCGAGACAATGAACAATCCCTCCGATTTCATGTAATTACCAGGGATTGTGTTCAACACCAACCCTTAGCTGCTGGCAGATGTGCTTACAAGTGTGTGTGAACTGCAGCAACGCAGGGTTTGTTTTCACTCAAGGCTGGGATATCACTGCTCACTTTTACCAAGAGATAAACCGACAATGAGACGGAGAGTTTCTGAAAGCGACTGTGAGACACCCTCAAACAACAAACTGTTAGAAAGCAGCATCTGGTTCCGAGCACGCCCTCGACAACAGATCATCCTCCAAAAATAGAAAATAAACATCATACATTTTCTTCCATTTTCAGTATCAACACATGCAAATTTCCACTAATCTACTCTGCTACTCTTTCTCACTGGCCCTCTCTTAAGCCTTCTTTAATTAGCTAATTATGATTACTTCTTCTCCTGGGAATTACTTCAGAATGCATGCATGCAAATCTGGACTTCTGTTGTCTCGGGCACAAAGACATTTTTAAAATGAAATGACAAAGCACACAGAAGGACAATGCTGGGCATTGTGACATGTACTTGGCCATTCATTTCTTTAAATGTAATACTTAAAGTCACACCGCAGTAATTGATAACTTCCAAACATACAAATGGAGACGTCTTCTACAAAAGGACACAGATGTCAGACAAGGGGTTGAAAGATAATGTTCTCATTAAACATACAAGTAAGTTATATCTGTATTATAGAGTATTAACGGCATTGGTATTGTTTGTTTTGGCAGAAGGATTTTGAAGCCCGCACAGACAGATGTTGACATCAGAAGCTTGTGCTTTTAAGCCTGTCATAACAATATCAAGTGAGGGAGAGCCACATTATGAACCGCTGCTCAAGTTCAGCGGCTCCCACATTTGCCTGTTGTGTTGTTTAACAGAAGGTAAATAGGACACTTCCATGCAATGGTTTAACAGAAAGTGGATGAGTTCTGGCACAAGATGAGCCAGCTGCCAAAGCTCTACCCCGTTAAATGACCGTATCGAGGGGCTGCCCTTAACTGGAGATATTCTCTGCTGACAAACAGTCACAAGGGTTCTTTGTCTAACCGCTAAATTTGTGTAATTATGGCATCGTTAAATATCTCGCTTCAGCGGCCAATCATATGCTTTAATAAAATTCCGTTCACGCCGTTACTTTTTTTTTTTTTTTTAACCAACAAAAGAGAGAAACATGACGTTAAGGAAGAACAGTTGGCAAGCGTACACTGTAATCCCCACATTTAAATAGTCATCCCTCTGTTTGACAGCAGGCGTTTCCACTCCATCCTTGAATGAGGCTGTTCAACAGAACCATAAACACTTTTGCCTTCAGCTGTGGTCAAATGACATGTCAGACAAACTCATTCATTTTGTGTATAACCTGCCTCTACTCATGAGTCGATGTGGCTTTTGATTACGAGCCATTTCTTGGCTTGTAATTAGGTGGTGTGAGTCTGACTGATTGATCATTAGATTGATAGATGTGGCTGATGACTGAACCTGACCACTCTTGAACTCCATTATTACTCCCACTGCTGACTGAGCCATATAGACGGCTTATTTTCCTTGCTCAAGGCAATCTTTCCTGTGTGAAACCTGTGCTTACATTTCGCACATTTCATGTGCAACCCACACCTCAAGGTAACACTTGCATTATCGCTCGACTATTCAAAAGCTTCCCTGACACCATAGTGACAGAGAGAGAGAGCCGGCGCTTCCATTTTCAAACATCTCAAACAGAGGCAGATGCTCACTTTCTTTGAGGCTGATGAGTTTGTAGCAGGGATAATAACTTGAGACATGAGGGAAAGATAGAGATGAGCAGGCATGGCAGAGGTCCTCGCTCAGCAGAGAGATTGCTGTAGGGGATCTGACAACCGCACAAGGGCTCCGAATAAAGGCTAAGTCAATAGCTGAATGTGCATGCCACCACTGGCTGTTGCTTGGAGACCTCCTCCCCCCACTGGCTTGGGCGTTCCCGTGGTGCTTTGTTGCAGCTGGTTGAGGGCCAGCTCATTCAGGATCCGACAGTCTCTCACTCGGCCATTAATTTTTGAGAGAGGTGAGCGGTGTGACCATGGTGAGGAGCTGGCGTTGAGCTGCAGCGAGTCATCTGTAGTTTTGCAGTGTCAGTGAATGTGTGCACGAGATCACGTTCACCAGGCTTTAATTAATGCATGTTTAATGTCAGGATTTAATGGCTTATGTTTCCTCAACCCTGGTTAAATAGCTCTGCAGAATATTTTGCTCTCCAGCTTTGCAAATGCAAGTCGACACCAGAGACCTGATACTGATATAACCAAATATATGGAACCTGGATTAAGAAAATAGCCTTTTTATGTAAAATGTAAACATGAATGCATCTTTTCTGCATTGTTTTGTTTTGTAATCTGCAAATATAGACACTGACACTATGTCTGTGAAAAGATCATACTGCCCTAATTTAAATCAACAGGCTCATTTCATGTTAAGGTTCAGTCTTTTCGTGCATGGCTGCAAGCTCCTTTGTATTTTTCTAAAACCCAGTGTTACTAAGTCAATATTAGGTCAATGAGGGTGTTAAGAAGAACTAACGACACCCAGATAAATATTTCCAGGTCACTCATCTGTTCAAGCGCACAGATCTCCCCTGCACAAACACATGACGTTAACTGCTGTAACACCGCTCCTTATCTGCTTTGTTGTAAGCTGCAATAATAACAACCTCTGTGTAAGCAACACTACATCTGCAGTGCTCTGTCAGCCAAACGTCTTGATTCACTGAGTATTTGGGTCAGTTGTTTCAGGGGTCGGGGATACATTAGTGAGCGGGTGTCCGTGAGAATTTTGCCATTGCCCTGTCCTCCGACATTACACTCATGTCGAAACCCACTCTTACAGCTGGGCCACTTCCTCCACAACCGAGCTCCAAAATAGTGCACAGCCACAGATCCACAATGCCTCCTCTCTGTTCGGTTTATTCCTCCTTGTGAAGTTTGTTATTCTTAATAGAAATAACAGCTGTACAACAGCTTGAACCGCCTGCACGATTCAGTCATAAAGTCATGTTTTTGGTGCCTGTGAGGGAGTGGGTAATTGCATCTCACGCTGACCTTGTTTCTTCACCTCAACAAAAAGCCCTCATCACTGAGCACAAGGCTGAGAGAGATTGGACGCACTGAAACCCAGAGACTCCACTGAGACCGTTTTCAGAGGAGGATTAAGAAAACAGTTTTTTCACGGAATATAAAGACGACACTGTACCGCAGACCGACTTCGTCATTTCTACCTTTCATTCTCAGTTCCTGAAAACTATATAAGCTGTGCCTTGCAATCACAGACAGCAGTAATGATTTCCATATATATTGAATGACCTTTCCTTCCCATGATACAATGCAGTATAGAGGAGGGTGTCCTCAGTCCATTTAATCACATTGCCTTATTTCATAGACAGGGCAATCTGTAGATTGGTGCCAATACCAAAAGATAATCTTTATCTTGCAGCATGACAGCTGAGCTAATCTCCACAAAATCACCAACCTATCTCATGGTTATTGTCACCTAGAGCCAATTCCCACAGACACTCGGGCTCAGGTCAAGTTGATGAAAGAGATGAAGTTGTGAGATTGGCCCTGTGCCTCTCACAGGCGAATTCATAAGGTTGGGTAAGTTTATCTTCTTTAATCACATTTAAAAGGGTTTAAAAAGATGTTTTCCCAGTTCCTTTATAAGAAACATGTCAAACTATCCTCAAAATCCATTCATTCAGGGACACGCAGAGCAGGTTTAAAGGAGACAGACGAGGTCTTATTCAGTTTTTCTTTTCTCTGGTGTGTTACATAGTTTTTTTGCTCACGTAAAAGTTCTGCAAAGTTAAAAAGTCTGAACTCATAAACGGAGCTCCTCTCCACACAGAGAACACTGACGCTAGCGAACAGACATCACAATGCCTCACATTTGAATAATCCACGGCTAACTGGTAGTCTGACACGCCCCCTAACAAAGCAAGGTAAAGCGAGAGCAGCGGCCGACATTTCCTCGTGGTTGACCAATCGCAACAGAGTGGACCAGCTTGCCAATCAGAGCAGACTGGGCTCAAGCGGGAAGGGATCTTAAAGACACAAGAGCTAAAACCAAGTGTTTCAGACAGAGGCTGAAAAGAGG